CTATACTTGCCAATGGGCTAACAGAACACTGCCCAAAAATTCAACAATTCTACGCGGTACAGTTGGTAGAATGTTTGAGACGCAGAGGTTGAGCAGGCGGAGGAGTTTGATTGGGTATTTCGGTTCTTGATGAATTACGACCACTTCTTCAAACAGTTTTTCCTTATACTATCCTTCAGATAACAAGATATTAGAACCTCATGGCCCAGTCAGGGTTATTAGATCTGTTCTGCTTCTGATCTTGCAGAGCCCCTGGAAGCAACCTCAGGGTGACTGCTTCTCAAGACCCCTAAGGGAGTATACCAATCTAACCGAGTAACGAGTAGCGTTCCGCCTTGACCTGTCGTGCTATGTCTATTATCATCACATCTTATCACGAAAATCAAGCTGAAAGTCCTGTCTGACAAGCCCCAGAGACACTCGTTTGAGATCTATGATGGAGATCAAACCATTGGTCGTATTGCTCCTACGCAAACTCTCGCCAACATCGCATTTGAACTTGCAAGCAAGAACATGATTGTTGTGGGAAAAAATGTTTGATTCGTCATTGTACATCATCGTCTCTTTGTAAAATTGCCATAAACTGCCCGGAATTTGATCCTCAATTGTTCTTACTCAACACAAAGGTAAACCCATCCCCGTCACTCGTCCCTCCCACACACGTGCTGCTGAACGTCCCCGTCGGACACACCGCCCGCGCCGCTCTTACGCAGCCTTCCCATCTTCCCTTGCTGACGTTGATCGTGGCGCCCTCGGCAGCGTTTACGGCTGTCAACGTAAACTTTGAGGTTCCCGAGGCCCCCACAGTTGTCGACGGGTCGCCCCCACAAAATTGTATCGAGCCTGCGATGCCGCCGCAGATGGACAGGATCGCGACGTTGGTATCGTGCGTGTTGAGATTCACGGTCGGGTCTATGCATGTCGTCCCCGTCACGGCCTCGGGGTTGACGGATGTGTTGGCCGGGTCGCGAGGGCGGATCGGGTAGCTGAAGTCGCCGGTCGTGCTGGACGGTGGCTCCGGGCGGTCATCCCACCACAAAGGAGACGCTGTCGTATGAATGATAAAAAGGAGAAATGTACACGAGAGAATCCGCAAGAGCATCTGCATTGTGTCTGTAAAATGAGCGACGCGAGTCAATTATCGTTGAAGCGCTTTCAAACAGCAAAAAAAGAGTGAATTGTCAACTGGGACACTTGGATGATTGGGTTTGTAGAGAGTTCTGAGCACGATCAAGTTTCCATGTCCTCGCACACATCGTATGTACTTATATATCAGTGCCAACCACATGTCTCATACCGTGGTCATCTATGGTACTAGATCATCAAACTGATCTTACCTGCCCCTGCCACCCTGACCCCTCCTCCTTCGATCGTCTAATAATGACTTGCAGACCAAACCCCAATACCAAACCAATCTCCCAGCGGTGCCCAAAATCCCTCAAAAAGCCTAAAGGAGGACTAGGCCGGTCCTGCATTCAGTATCGTGGCAGAGGACTGGGGGAGGATGGCCTCATTTGCGTGAGACGACCGGTCAGTGATGAGGCGTGTCAGAAGGGTGGTTGTCGCGGTTGAAATGTCGCAGAAGAGTTTGACGAGTTTCTAGCAAAAAGCCTCGGGAACTTGATGCGGTTTAGTGCGGGATTTTGGATCGGTGCTAGGGTCAGATACGGTGGATCATAAAGCTGGGCTAGCAATAAGTACGGCGGAGTAAATCTCCTACACATTCGATGTTCTTCCATCTCTGCCTCTTGCACCTCTGCCTCCGCGCCGTTGTTGTGGAAACACTCGTGGCATCCATCTCGCCTACAAACCCTTCATCTCTTACTTACCACCGGTCACAGGCTGAAACATAATCCCTTGTCATCGAGCCGAGGATGGCTAAACCCAGAAAGTGTCACTCAGCTCAATGACGAACGCGCAGTTATAAACCGCCAGCCCCCGGACTCTCGAGCAACTGCTACCACTGCCCATCACAGATTCAGCTATTGTCTGGCTCAATCCTCGCATACGCCATTATGGCGAATCCCTGCCAACTTTGGTGAGGGTTCGGGAATGCTGGAAGGTGATCTTACCTACGCCTCCATATGGTTGCGATTGTGCCAACAACCGGCCGAGTGTACCTTGAATCAGGTGGTGACGGGTACAAATGCCTTTGCGCTGGAGTTGTGGCAAGTGGAAGGCATCATCTAGATCATCTTACCACAATACTCTGCCAAAGATTCCAATAGTGGCTCCCCCGACACTTCTCAACAACACGCGACCAGTCTGACTTCCGATGAAGCGGCAGGTCAATCTCGACCAACGACTATAAGTCATGTCGCTTTCGCATATTCCTTTCAAATGAGCCGATGAGACAAATACTTATCTTTGACATTGAAATCGATACAGCGGATTGTAGTCTCAGTACCAATATCGCTGACAGAATATGGTAAAGACTATGGTGGCCAAATGCAAGACAATTCTCTGCTGTCACACACATTGTTTGATCACCCGTCAAAAGCCTGACAGAATTCACCTTTACTTCAGATCCAACCTTTGGCTAAGCAACCGCTACGTCAGTTTGCCTGTTCCCAGGCCAAAATCAGACAGTGAACTAAACTGCTGATCTGGGGTATGCTTCAAACTCTCATTCCATGGTGCACCCAAGGATCAGCATTCGGAGTTCAAGGAGAAGGACTTCACAGCTTATATGCAAAAGACTTTCCGCCATGGTAAGCGATGGATGTCAATACTGTGACGTATACGGTATCCGCAGCGGTTTCAGGACTACAAGTATCCTTGCACGCTTGACCCCTGTAGTCTCCAGGTTGTATCGCATATCATATCCGTCAGGAAATACGCTTTGTTGGGCTACACCAGGAAGCTTGATAATATCTCTACCCAGTCATTGTACAGCATCTAGCACCATGCAGTTTGCCCAGAATTGACTCCTTCCAGCATTTTGTTCTCCAGTTCCACCCAGAAAGGAGAGTGGGTGCGTGGATCTAGGCCCTCGCTAATTGGAACAGGTATGTATCAGTTATGCCTGTCCCTGCCTTGTTCGGCTCAGCCCGACACTTTGCGTCAAGGGATTTCGTTGAATAATGCTCATCTGCACATTTCAAATTCTTCGAAACTCGACAGACGTCAACCTACATCGTCATCATGGATGGGATCATCGTTGCTGCGCCTCTTGCTTGCCCCTGGTTGTCGTTTGTTCCCTATCCGCCAGCTTGATATAAGTTCATCTTTCCAGGCGCTGGATAGCATTCTCACCGTGTCTTCCCGTCATCATTAGCCTTCCTGAGCCTGCTCGAAGAATCATGTCATCACAACCCTTGCAGACAGTACCGAAAGCCCCTCGCGGTGGCCCAGAAGACAACTTTAAGAAATCAGATGTCCACATCAGCTGGACTGAGATGATACCTGATAACCTGCGGAGCCATGAGCGACACGCATCCATGCAGAAGAGCAAAGCTGAGGTCAATCCCAGGCGCGAATTCCTCCAGAGACAATACCACAGGTTTCGAAAGTGGACCAGGATCGCGTCTGCAACCACCAATGTCATTTCTGCACTACTCTCGATTATCATGGAATCAATCATGATCTACACTCTCTACAAATTCTACGCAACCAAGAACCTCTTCGTCACGGGTCGACCATGGGGACCGTGGGCAATGGGCACCATCCTCTGGCCGACTATCATGCTAGCTGTCGCTTCCATCATCACTTCTATATCAGCCTTGGTTGTGCTTTGTGTCATTTGGTGCAAAGCCAAGCACAAGGCAGCATATTTCAGCCTACTGTACGCTCTGGTGCATATCATTGCGTGGCTGGTTGTGTCGGTGGTGTACAGGGTCGAGAAGACTGAAAAGGACCTTTGGGGGTGGAGTTGTACCGACAAGGCCAAAGCAATCCAACAACAACTAGGGAGCAAGACACTGGACTTTGCGAGCCTGTGCAAGCTTCAGGTGAGTTGACTCCCAGCCCACGCCACTTACCCTCGATCATGGAAGTGGTCGCCAGAAGCCATCGATATCTGACGCTAGATCTACCAGGCCTCCTCCTGGGAAGTCTCGGTCACTGAGGTGACCATCAAGGTACTTGCAACTGGCGTCACCTGGTACTTGGATGCCAAACAGAAAGGGCTGAAGACTGAAATTGTCGGTGACATAGGCTCAGCAGTTTTCGATCAGATCACCGGTTGAGCCTCTCGCACCATGGCAGGCAGGGCTTGGGAGTACCAGAAGCTTGTTCTGACTGCATCGTGATGGCCCTTGGGGCTCGGCAAGCTTATGAGAAGCGTAGAGTGTGGCCAGCGTACCTGATTGGCTATACTGTGTACAAATACTGGATATTTGTATGACTCGCAGTCGTACGAATCATGCGGAATGACAGCCGCAGAATGAGACGGTTGTTTCTCCTCACCCAAGGAAGTGCGGCTCTTTCTGCACATGGTATATCCCCCGGAGTAAGCACCCTCTGTTAATCATTTCGAGAGACTTGTCGTAATGCTGGAAAGCATAACAAGAGGCACGACACACGTGTCGTAAAGTTGTCCCAGGACTAACCCTAACAAAGCAGGCATTCCTACCATTCTCGACTAGAAATACACCTTCAAACATCCAGATGACTCTAAAACAGCCGATCAATCCATAAACGTTATGCTGCAATGTCTTTAGTATGAAGAATCAAGGTGACATCTATTTACACTCGAGGCTGATAACGTTAAGGTCCACGAGCGTGGTCGGGGCAAATGTTACGCCGAGGAGCACAACGTCTCAAGGCGCTCAACTCGGCAATTCGTATACTGTGTGATTTGACGCAGAGAACATTCAAGGCAAAGATGGAAGCCAAAAGCCTCTGACCAGGAGAGAGGAAACGTCATGGCACGGGCAAGGCCGAGGGATGTACTTAAAGAGCCATCATTCAGTCGTCTGTGTATGAGTGCTCCAAATCTCATCAACACCCTCAACCAACAAGCAAAGCGCGAGGAATAAGAGACCGATCAATCCCAAGCCATGACTGTCAAGCTCTGGACATCACCCCTGTCGTGGAACTGCGTGCGGGTGGAGCACGTGTTGGCTGAGAAAGGCATCGAAGATGTCGAAATAATCCCAGCCGACCTCATCGGGGGCAAACACAAGGCGAGTCGTCGTTCCCTCAACCCGAGAGCAGTGCGTTGCTAACGAGGGCCATCGACAGACCGAAGACTTCCGCGAAAAGTCTCTCTTCGGGAGAGTGCCACTGCTGGAGGACGGCGACGTTGTGATCTTCGAGTCCCGCGCCATCGCTCGCTATCTGTGCGAGAAGTATGCGGCGGTTGGCCCGAGATTGATGCCCCCCGAGGGCACCGACGCTGGAACACGTGGCGTCTGGGAGATGAGGCTGATCCTCGAAGCGGTCGAGTTTGACGTCCACGTCGCGCCGGTGATTAGCGAGACCATCATTCGACCGTATGCTTGACCTCCTCCCCTTCCTTGTATATCTCTATCCGTCTTTCCCATCAGACTTCCTCCCTCCCTATCCACATCATCAACGTCCTAACACCCGCGGTTATCCAGCGCACTAGGCAAACCCACCGACGAAGCCGTCATTGCGAGACACAAGCCGAAACTCCTAGCTTGCCTAGACGTGCTTGACAAGGCCCTTTCCGAGCTCCCATACATGGGAGGCACCGAGTACAGTCTGGTGGATATCTTGTACATGCCGTGCATGTTCACCGCGAGTCGGTGCCTGGAGCTTTTCGAGGGGCGACCCAATCTGAAGAGGTGGTGGGACACCGTCAGTGGCCGGGAAGCGTGGAAGAGGGCCGTCAAGCCGCTTGACGAGGGGTATGGCCAGGTCGTTCCAGGGTGGAAGAAGTAAATGAACAACCAAGCATACCCGTATATGTAGATGTATTTTGTATTTGGGTGTGTATGTGATACTGTATGCACCGTGCGCATGCTGCACACCTTTTCAAACTCAAGTCACTATATCATATCAGACCGGATCAGTCAATTTCATTGATTCACCCATCCAAGGTACGCGCATCTACATGCATCGCAGCACACATCATCAGCGCTACCGTTACCGTCGCCATCACCATCACTGTCACCGCCGTCCCAATACTATCATCATCATCATCATTCTCATCATCGTTATGATTGCGGCCGTGAAACCTTCTCTTCGTGCAACACCTCGACCCCGACCCCGCCCGCCCTCTTGACCTCAGCCTCGGCCGCGATCTCGTGCAGTCGGTTCTCCAGATCGTGGCTGGCGTAGCTGTCCCTGGTGGTGCCGACGACGATCCACGGCGCGTGCTCAAACAGGTAATTCATCTCCTCGAGCGGCCGGCGGGCGGTTTCGGGCAGCAACAGCCAGAAGAAGACGGCGTTGGTCAGGTTGCACACGATGAAGAGGTAGTAGAACCGGTAGCCGATGTTGGTCATGGCGATGGGGGTGACTTGGCCCTGTAGTTACCGTAACAACCACCACCACCATCACGTTAGTATCTTTAATGTTGGGCCGGCGGGGGGAGAGAGGGAGAAAAGGATCAAGGAGGATAGGGGAGAGGACAACGTGAACGTACAATCATCGTGTTAAAGGCAAAGCTGGTCATGGTGGCGATACTCACGCCTTTGCTTCGACTGGAATATCAGACACACGTTAGTATCCATGAACACAACAGCTCTTCGGGGGGGGGGGGGGAACAGTTCCCCCTCTTTCATTCTTCACATCACAAGATTTCAAAGGCGCGATGGGAGCACTCACGTCCGCGTATCAAACACCTCGGCCGGGATGATCCACGACAACGGCCCACACGTCGCGCTAAAGGAAAAGTTGTACAGCCAGGTCATGATGATGAACCCCCACTGGGCGCCCTTGTTGGTCGACACCCCGGGAGGGAACTTCGCCAGCAGAATAGTGGCGACGATGAAGGTGACCATGTTGCCGAGGTTGCCGTAGATCAGGGGCCAGCGACGGCCCGTGTGGTCGATGCACAGGATGCACAGGAACTGCGCCACCAGGGCGATGACGCTGTTGATGCCCTGGTACTTGAGCGTGTCGTTGCCGGAGATGCCTGCAACAACCGTCAGGGTATTTCATCAACGGAGAGAGTGGAGAGAGGAGAGAGGAGAGAACATACCAATCTGGCCGTAGATTTCGACCGAAAAGTACTGGATCGCCGAGACACCTGTCATCTGGATGCTCGCTTGCAGGGCACAGCAGAGGAAGAGCCGGCGGAAGGCCGATCGAGACCGGAACAGTTCGAGATACGACTTCGCCTCGTACTGGTGCTCGTGCGCGATCGAGGTCTGCACTTGTTCGTACTCGGCAATCACCCAGGGATCCCTTTCGTCGCCGTGGGCGTGAAGCTGGGCCAAGACCTTCAGAGCTTGGTCCGGTCGGTCGTGGTCCATGAGCCATCTGGTGTTGGAGATAGGGTTAGCAGGAGGAGGAAGATGACAGCCCCAGTCGGGGGTTAAGCAAGCTATCCATACCTGGGAGACTCTGGGAACAGGAAGATCAAAAGGCCCAGAAAGACGGCAGGGATAACTTGTAGACCGAGCGGAACTCGCCATTGGGCGCTGCTGTTTGGAATATGGACAAACTGTCGGATCTCGTGTTAATTGTGTCAATCGAAGAGGAAGGGGTAATGACATACTGTCGCCCACGAAATCCACGAAGCCACCAGCGCACCCACACCAAGCATGAACTGCTGCAGGGCCGTGATGCGCCCTCGAATGCTGGGATGAGCCAGCTCAGCTTGGTATAGAGGAACAATCATGACGAGAAATCCGACGCCTAGTCCGGCTAGGAATCGGCCTGACCAGAGGTAGCTGATATTCTGTGCGCCGGTCTGCAAGCCACCGCCCAGACAAAAGATGATTGATCCCAGGACAATGGTCCATCGACGGCCGAGATAGTCACCACTGGGTCCGGCCAGGGCCGCCCCGAAGAAGGCCCCCGTGGTGAACATGGAGACGACCAGGCCTGTCTGGGTGTCATCTGCCGCGAATTTGGCCTTGAAGGTGCTGCTGGCCACGACTTCTGCAATGACCCCCAGGTCGTAGCCGTACAGGTATGAACCAAGCGAGGCGAAGACGCCGACGAGGAACTGATACCATTTGGGAGGTAGAGCCATGACGGGCGACTTGTCCAAGTAAAACGGAGACAGCCAGAAAGGGTCCCAAGTTGATAGAATCGAGGAGAAGGTAGATGTTTGGAACCTGCGTGAAGGTCTCACCTCAAAGATGGCAAAGAGGAATCAAATAGATCGACGGAGTCCACAGACAATATATGAATGTGGATCCCTTCACAGAGTCTCATCGCCCATTATTGTCGCACTGTCAAGCTCACCGCGTGATGTTTCGCTTGATCCCGCAGTTTTTCCCAGTCGAGACGGTGCGAATCCCCGCCACCAACCCGCAATTGTTTGGGTCTAGCGAGACCAGCAGAAGATGGGATTGCGGAGATGCATGACAATGTCCTTGATACAGCGAAATGCCGAAGGGGGTTCGTCAAAGCTTTGTGCCGGACCACCAGAACGGCAGGGAAAAACTGGTTTGTGGTTTGTGGGGAAAAGGAATGAAAGGAATGAAGCTCCGGTGTGGAAACAGAGAGAGAGAGAGAGATGAGGCGAATGTCCCAAAATGGAAGTTCCCCGGTGGGAGGGTCAGGGATGGTCCAAGAAGGTGACTTTGGCCTCTTTCCACTCGTTTCCCATGCCCCGTCAATTGGCTCCGCGGGTATTTTCCTGACACTCTCAGGACCCTATCACGGTCCGTGTGGCGGATAATATCGATCTGCTCGCGTGGAAATTCAAGCATCATCCACTGGGAAGATATCATGAGCAGCTCAACCCCGGCGGACTTTTGCCGTCCACTTCTTAGACAACCAACAATGTCGCTTGTCACTGACTTCTCCTTGACTAGATTGAACGTCACATGATTGACCTACCTGACCTCATTCTTGCCCATCAACGATCGGGATCCCCGTGGTATTGGAAGAACAGATACTTGGACAGTTTGATATTGGAGGTTTGAGGGTGCAACTCCGGGGATCAAGACTCGAACAGCCCTGCACCAGTACAGGTCCGGGACCAAAAATGACAAGGACCATGACAATGCCGTCTATTACCGTCTTCCCTTCCCGCAAGGTCTCCAAGATCAACCGGAACATCTACTCTGGCTTCACGGAGCACATGGGACGCTGCATCTACGGGGGAATCTATGACCCGTCAAACCCCAACAAGGACCTGATCGACCGCAACGGATTTCGCAGAGACGTGATCGACGCCCTGAAACCCCTCGAAGTCCCGGTATTTCGGTACCCAGGAGGCAACTTCTGCGCCACGTACCACTGGCAGGACGGAATCGGGCCGAGAGACCAGCGGCCCTCCAGACCGGAACTGGCGTGGGACAATGTCGAGACGAACCATTTCGGCACCGACGAGTTTATGGCGTGGTGCAAGGCCGTCGACGCCGAGCCCTACCTCTGCCTGAACTTTGGCACGGGCACGCTCGACGAGGCCATGGCGTGGGTCGAGTACTGCAACGGCACCAAGGACACGTACTACGCGAACCTGCGACGGAAGAACGGCCACGAGGACCCCTACCGGGTCAAGTACTGGGCGCTGGGCAACGAGATGTGGGGACCCTGGCAGGTCTGCCAGATGACGGCCGAGGCGTACGCGGAGCGAGCGCTGCAGTGGGCCAAGGCGCTGAAACTGCTCGATCCGACCATCCAGCTGGTCCTGTGCGGCAAAGAGGGCGCCACGAGCTGGGACCACCACGTGGTAAAACACTGTCTGCAGCCGGCCGGCCTGAGCGACCTGGGCGAGGAGCGCCTGCCGCTGATCGACATGCACAGCATCCACCTGTACACGGCGAGCGAGGCGCACTACGAGAACGTGACGGCGCCGCTGGCCGCGGAGCGCAGCATCGAGGTCGCCGCGGCGCTGATCGACCTGGCCGTGGTCGAGAACCAGATCCCGCCAACCCAGCAGCGGCCGACCGTCTGCTTCGATGAGTGGAACGTGTGGCTGCCGACGCGGGCCGTGGGGAGTCGCGGCGCCGAGGAGTCGTACACGCTGTCGGACGCGCTGGCCGTGGCCGTGTGGCTGAACGTGCTGGTGCGCAAGTCGGCCGACGTGGGCATGGCGTGCATCGCCCAGAGCGTCAACGTCATCAGTCCGCTGATGACCACGCCGACGGGCCTCGTCCGGCAGACCACCTGGTGGGCCTACGAGCTGTTCTGCCGCTTCATGAAGGGCCACCAGATCGCCGTGCACCTCGACTGCGCCGCCTCCTACACGGGGCCCACGAAGCCCGCGTGGGTGAGGGCCCTCAAGCCGACGCCGTGGCTCGACGTCAGTGCCACCCTCGACGAGACAGGCTGGGTCAACCTCTGCGTGGTCAACATCCACGCCGAGCAGGATCTAGAGACGACGCTCGGAGGAGTCGACGCCTCCCACGGCGAGGTCTATACCGTCACAGGCCCACATCTCGAGGTCACAAACATGGCTGGCAAGGAGGAGGTCGGGCTGCACAAGTCGGGATGGGACCCGAACAAGTCCTCGACGTTTGTCTTCCCGAAGAGTTCCATCACGATGCTCAGATGGCAGACCTCATAGTCGGAAGACAACCATCACCTGTTGAGAAATGTAATATTCTGGGTGGTGCCAGCCAGGTCTCCGTTCGTTTCGCCGTGAGGATAGGATAGAAAGTCCTGCATTGAACGGCGGTTGGTTTTAAAGGGCAACTGGTTCTCAGAAGCCCTCCCCCTTCTTTTGGGCCTCGACTATGAGCCTACATACACCACTATCATAGACTTCAGTGGCGAATCTTGACGTTTCTCCCAAAGGTCCATCTTTCCGTTTCTTCGAGACCTGAGTTATCTCGACACTTGGGGGAAATACGTACGTAACCCTCTGGATTGAAACTATTAAAGACCTTTCTAGCTTTGTATCTTTATTTCCACCAACGCTTGGCCATCTAGGCCTTCTTTGACAAGGTACATGATGTACACGCAGCCTTATGGTTACGAGGCCACGCTCCCAGAGTAATATCCAATCCGTTTGCGAGAAATATATAGAATAGTATATCCGTGATTAATATTACTTACTTCCTGAGTCCTTTCTCTCCTTAATTCTTTAGTACCTATGGATCAGCTCAACGGCGGCCGTGGCCACGAACAAAGTACCAGGACCTTCCTCGCATTTCCAGTCGTCAATCTCACGTAGTAGTGTTTCATGCCCTCATCGCGCTCAGTGGTTTTTTATCCCACAGCTCATCATGATAGGGCCTACCCCCGTCTTTGTACCGTGTATTACGAGCCGTTTCCTAAACTAGAGTAATACTTGCAATAACCGCCCTAGGCGGGGCATCAGGGTTCAGTTGACGGCGCAGGTAATCGTGTTCTTCGACATACGCCGCATGGCCCATCCCTCCAAACATGACGATTCCAACCCGTTCGTACACATTGGGAGCTGCCTGTGTGCTGGGTTTGAGGATGAGACAAGTCAAACCCCCACCGGAAGCCATAAAGGCCGGTAAGAGGCTCAGATCCTTCACCACGGGTTCGCATGGCAAGTCCGTGTACAATTCGTACCCTAGACCATCCTCAGCAGACATACCATGGATGGCCACAGACTTTGCGGTTGCTCGAAGTTCCACAGGTTCCAGCAGCGTTACGTCTGAGAAGGCGATATAGCCCGAATCCACTTGGCCAAAGAGATCTCCATCAACTTTGGGATTGACGCGAGCTTCCTTCACCTTTTCTTTCAAGAGATCTACGTTGTCATCGCGTTCGGCGACCTCGTCCAACACGTGCGATATGTTCCCTTCGATAGATGCCCAAGACCAAGACGGGGCTCGATACTGTTGCGGGCGGCATGACACAGAGCCTTCCGCCCGCCACAGTAGGGAATCCGTAATTCTCGACCGCCATAAACCGGCGAGGTATTCATCGCCAGTAGTCGACGCGATCCGCTTCGCGATCCCGGCGATGGCGACCAGTTTATCTTTTGGCTCAGTTATTCCGCATTTCGTATACTGCTGGACGATTGCGTTCCAAACATGATAAATGTCTCTTTCTTTAAGCCTCCTATTGACCACTCCATCCAGTGCGGCATCCCTCTCTCTTTCCGCAAATCTGGCTGGATCGAGACTCTTGCCAATCGGATTGCTACTTCCCCACGCAACGGGAAGTCCCTTGGGAAACGACTCACAGGCATCTAGTGTGTCGCACTGCCAGAAGAGCTGAGACTTGCCGAAGTGCAGAACCCGAGGAGCGAGTAATCGTTCCTGTAGAACCCATGCGCGATAGTTGAGTGGCGCTTGCTCGATTTCTTTCTCAAGGACATCGTTCTCTCTTAGGAGCCAGCGTTTTCTCGAAACGAGGCCAGTGCTGAAAAATCCAAAACATGGCCAGCATTTGTCGGCTTGTCTCGTCCGGAATAAGCCGCCGCCCGTATCAAGAGAAGCCGTGGCAGCAATATTCAGGCGACAGTTGCTGTAAACCTTCTCCATCTGCAATGACTCGAAGTTCCAATCGTCTTCCGAAGCCTGAATGATGCAAAGGGAGTCAATCCACAAATACCTCATCCCGAGGCACCGAGTGAGCACCACAGCCTCTCTAAACGTCTTGGGGAGTCGATCAAGTGCAATCCCAGTCTGAAAGTCTTGAAGAAGAGACGCTGTCAGTGCGAATCGGGGCCCATGACCCCATTTGTGGCTAAGGGTGACATATGGGCCTTTCAGTTGCGCAGATTTACTTATGACGAGCTTGACCACACGGTCATTCTCGCGACCCACGTCAACGAGCCGCGTAGGGTACCAGGGGGCGGCCGATTCGCGCACCTGGCACTTTGGGTGGTGTTGCAGACAGTCCTGGAGCCATTGTACCATGCGAGCCACACATGCTTCTGACCCCGTGTTATGGTGGCGAATGGAGGGGGGCAACGAAGAGAAGGCTGGAAGAGAGAGGTCAGCCTGTACCTCCCGGATATGTAGCAACGAAACGGCCATGTTAAGCTTACCATTCACTCTCCCAAAGCTAAGTTCCAACACCACACATCGTCGGTCGTCAGGTCGCACCAAAAGAATGGCGGGAGAGCGTATTTGGAACTCATAGAGCCATTGACGTCCATTGTAATATTCTCCGCCATCGCGAACATAGTCTGCACTCAGGATGGAATAGGTGTAGCCCAGAGTCGGTCGATTATCCGCATCTTTTGTAGGGATCTCGGCAGGAAGGTCTTTGCTGCCGAACAGATCAAGAAGTCGCTGCACCACTGTCTTGCACACCGGGCACCCACGATCCGCTGCGGCCAGCAGATCACCAGCCGTAGCATGATGGGGAGTGGTCACTGCAGACAATTTCAGTAGGCTTAGCGTGCCGTGGCATTTCTTGCACAGCGAGAGACTCCCCGTCATCACGGCAGCGTAGACTTTTTAAGGCGGCGTGATAAAGCGAGACTGCGGCATCTTTGTGATCGTCGGGTAGTAAAAGCCCGACAACTTTTGATCATTCAACACTTTGCGGATCCCGCAGCGGACGCGTCGAGGACGCGTCCTTGGCGCCGGCTGCACCCACTGTTTGGGGTAGTTATATATAACTAATATATTTATAAAATATACGATGAACATCTCGCCCGTGCCCATCGACAGAGGCATCTCCAAAAAAAAAAAAAAAACCTTTCATCAAGTCGCTTTCCTCAGCTCTGCCAATTTCACCAAGATGTCGTGATATTCTCGACTGACGCCCCAACAGGCCAGTCGCGTCCGTAAGAGTTTTGCCCCTTCCAACAGGACCTTCTGTGGTGTCTTGCAGATGTCTCCCACGTTGGTCATGTGGCCGGACATGGTGTGTCCGTTGCGCACAAAGTGTTGAACCATCTCGTCGTCGCAGGGGCGGTCCAGGTGGATGAACTCGGGTTGCTCGTCGTCCGAGGAGCAGGTGCCTTGGTCGGAATCCGAGTCGGAGCACGCGCCTGGAGGCGACCTTGAGGTAGGTGTCGTGCCGCCCACCACGGCGAACACGGCCTTGTTGTCCGAAGAGCGTCGGTCGGCAGATGATTCAGGAGACAGAGAAAGCTGCGGATTCGAGGGACCACCACCCCCACCCCCACCAGCAGCTTTGCCTGGCCGTCCGTGGGCCGTGCTGATGAAGGTGATGGGATGTTCTTTTCTCTCCATGCGAGACGGCTGGATGGGGGCCCCGGCGTCAGGTCCGCTCGGACCACCTTCGGGCTTCTGACTGGCCGCAGCAGCGTCGCGCTCAAAAGCAGTCGATTTATAGGAGCCATATGTCCAGAGAACTAGGCTTGCCAGATAGACGGCGATCGGCTCGAAGAAGCTCATGGCCGAGTACCGACGAACATACCAAAACACCGAGCCAGCATGCACCATGGCAAGACGAGCCTTGTGCTGATCTTCTCGCAGCCATCGCCACGTTATCATACGGATCTGCGGCAGTTTGGCGCTGTTGCGTGGTTGATAGCTGCCGTCATGAACATAAAATGATGCCTTTGGGGAGTTGTCCACTTTGCCGATCAACGAGAACAACAAGTCTTGTATCTCCTGAAATGGGGTCAGGAGGACAATACGGGCGAGGTGTAGGTGAAGGATAACACCGTGTTCGAGCCCGGAGGCCTTTGCTACAATGCTCGAAGCCTGCCAATGAAGCACATCGAGGCAATCGCAAGCGCTGTTACGCCAGTTCGCGTAGAGAGGGTAGAGCGGGAGCCAGAAGTTGTCCTTTGATGGTGTGTTTAAGAAGCCCCGAGCTTTGCCTGTGGGAACCCATTCGCTCAGCGGCTGTTTGATGTGCGTGCCCACTTCCCACGTTCGTTGATAAAGGGCGTGAATCAGCAACATCTGTGATAATTCGCTATACTCTGGATCGACTTGTTTCTTACTGTAGAGCATCTCAAGGGCACCGCAGAGAGAGGGGGTTTCCGCCAGTTCTCGGGTTCTGTCTGCCCAGAGTTCTGGAGTTGAGGCATCCCAAGCAGATTCAGAACAGGGTAGAGGAGTTCTTGCATCGTCCATGTTACAGAGCGGACGTGCGTTCGCCATGTAGCCCAGGCAACAATCAAGTAACCAAGACATATAGCCGATACGCCGCAAGGATTCGACCCTGATCCATTTCTTCCACAATCGCAAGCGATCCTCGATACCTTCACCGTCCGCCTCGGCCTCTGGCAGATCACCTCCTGAAGAAAGCTGCAACACCCCTGATTCTAAACACCAGCGTGAGAGATCTGCATGATATCGTGGCGCCAGTGCCCTGAGCTGCTCACGCTCCGACTGAACCAACCCGACAAGATTCAAGATGCGGGCCTGTGCTAGTGGGAGTTCCAGCGGAGAGTCTGGTACCCCGTCTGTGTACCTGTCAACAGCGCGGCGGAGGAACTCCTGGAAAGCTTCTCGAATGTCCGGACCATATGAGGATTTTGTAAAGGAACTGCCGATTGCCGCGGCAGCGAGGACCACTATCCAGTCAGACTGAAGCCCAAATGAAGCCTGGTGTAGGAGGGGGAAATTCTTGTAGAAGTTGTCGAAATAAAGATCAATGCAAATGTTGACTACACTCAAGGGTGGAAAGCCAGAGCTTTGGAATGGGGTTGGCATCGTCGTCTGCGCACACAGATTTCGGAAGTTGCTCAAAATCAAGTCGTAAGTTGCCTCAGGACAGTATTCCGCCGAGCTGTGTGTCAACATGAAATCCCAGGATTCAACATCTGGAAACGCATAGCCCGTACTCTGTTTTCTGGGTTGGGTAAAGGTATCGGGCAAGGGGAGACTTTTTCTTTTCTTCCGCTTCAGGTCTGAACCGACAGAGCTGCCGTGCACGGATTTAGGTATGCGTATGCCGTCACTTGTTGAAGACGCGGGACTCTGTTCGACAACCTCGAATGGGACTCGAAACCCTTGAGTCTCGGATGATCCATATGCAACGTCTTCGCCGGCCGAATAGATGTATTCGGGTGGATTAATGGCGAAGTCCACCGTGTAGTCAGCAGCTAGACTATTAGATAGTGCAGGGAGAATGAAAGAGAAATCTTGTTCAAGTTCTGCATCGTACGGGGATGGATAAATGCTCGGAGGGATCCAGTTTAGTGGTTCATCGAACGAGTTATACTCGAAGGTCGCTGTAGGCTCAACGAATCCACCACTAAACTGGGGGCCGAGGTAATCATTGCTAGGTTGGTCGTGCTGTAACAGTTGAGATGTGCCTGGCTTCATTGTACCAAGGGTAGAGCTTGGTTGGCCGTCTCGACTTACCGCCTGGTGTCCTATTGCGTAGTTTGATGGTATAGGAGCTTGCGCTGTGTGGGATGGAGCCGGAGTAGCCTTTGGAGTAGACAATGATTCTCCATCCGTACGTGTATTTGACGAGAGAGGGTCTAGGCTATCAGCAGCAAGTACTAACTCATTGAAGTTTCCGAGTATTCGCTGCTTCGTGGCCTCTTCGTCGTTGTTTTTCAAGGAGTCGGTCGACAATGAGGTCTTCCGGCGTTTATTTGGATAGACGCATTCGAGCTGGCGCAGATTGCATCTGCCACAGGGCGAGCCGCCCGAGCACCTGGATCTGGCCGTTGCACAGGCATGACATGCTCGGAACGTCCCAGTCGTCACTCGATGAATGGGCCCTCGATCTTCTGTAGAGTGATGACTTTTCTCGTGTCGAAGGAGCGTATCGGAGCGCGCGAATGTCTTGCCGCAGAATTTACATGCTGCAGATCGTTCTGTGGACTTGCCTCCTGGCTTCTCCTTCATATCTGCGATAAGACTGCATAGGAGCGAGAAATTAGTGTGTCGTTGGGGAGCGTGGGGAGCAAAGGTGAAGAGAAGCCCTGAAACATCGAGTTGGGGTCCAGACCTCGGCAGAGTTGCCGCAAGAAGCACAACACCGAGACTAGTCACGGGAACTAGTGCTTCGGTGCGCACTAGTCTGAGTTAGCTACGCTAGTGGATTCTTGTCATTTCAACGTCACTATGATCATAAACTACGAACCTTACTCATCACAAGGCATAAGAAACCGCACGTACATGTACGACTGCATTACCCATGGACCTCGTACTTGTACGCCCCCAAGGGGCTCAACCCGGTGACCATCACAAATAACAGAGCTAATGGAGGTCGAATCGCAACAAGAAACCCTGGAATTTCCTCCGGTGGCTGGTCTTCTCGCTTCGGGCCCTGCTAGGTGCCATGGGGGCCTAAACACTTCAAGCTCGTTTCAGCCTATGCTTCCCGTCTATCTAAGACCTGCAGGACGGGAAGATGCTGGATCTCCAGTGCGCTGGCGTGGTCAAAATCGCTGAAAAAAGGGCTATCTCCCTCAGCTTCATTTCTGATCTTCCTGGTTTTCCCAATCCAAGAAGGTGGCATGCCCATAACGAGAGCAGTAAGCTGTATACATGATGGAATGAGAGCCGATCAAGGCCCTTTGCTGAACACAGGCCCCGACGACTCTATTGTGCCGTCTCAAGATCCCAGGAACTCTAGAAGCGCTCGACGGGTGTCATCTCTAAGCGTCATTGGAGAAGTTCTGCTTGATTTGCTCATCGCCGTCTCGTGCGCCTACTTCATTGTCTTTGCTGTTCTGGTTTATGCTAGGCGTAACCAGCCTGTCGAGCAACCCGGAAATCGAGACTTGATTGAAGCAGCCAAATATGTGAGTTCGGCCATCGCTGCCACCCTGTTGCTTGCCGCTCAGGCACCCGTCCTGGCCAGTGGCTGTGGCTAAACCATCCAGACTCCTACCATTTTCCCCATCGTATTCTCTGCGGTTGTTGCCAAATTTCTGAAAGCCATTGCAGCTGTCAAACTCGAGCATGGCACCTCTGTACTCGCGATCGAATATCTCTTGCAAAGCCGCACTGTCTTTAGCACTTTCATGGCTCCAATTACATTGAAGACCATCAACATTCTTACGCCCGTTCTATTCCTCCTTTGGGCACTCTCCCCTCTTGGTGGTCAAGCTGGACTGCGTGTCATATCGACTCAGGAATCCTTTTCGAATGCGACTCAGAACTTCACCTACCTCGCATTTGTATCCCCATTCAGCAACAACGGCGTCGGTTCAGCCTCAGCAGAACCTCTTGTCCCGATCAATGCCATCTTTACCGCTGCCATCATTGGCTCGGCGAAGACAAAAAATCTACCCCAAGACCAATTCGGCAACGTCAAAGTACCCGTCTACGAAAGCTTGTTACCGGAAGATGGCACAGACTGGAGATCTGTACCAGAATCAGATGATGTCGAATGGAGTTCTCTCACTGGACTGCCCATCCACAACCTCCCATCAACTGGAGTTTCACGCTTCACCATGAACACTGGTTACATGCTCACGAGCTGTAATACATCAGGCCACGATTGGACTGAAGATTACAGACAGAGCCTGGAGGAGTATATAGGCTGGAGCGGTGCCAACTACGCCCTCAGTCCAAACAGGGTCGACCAATTTGCAATAACAAACTTTACCTTTCGATCTCTTGATCTGTTACCAGCCAGCAGCCCTGCGCCAGAGGGGAAGATTCTCACCGTGGCAAACTGCACAGTCGGTATGAGTTATGTCGAGGTACAGATCAAATGTGACGGTCAAACCTGTCAAAGCGTTGCGGTCCGACCCTCACCTAACCCTGCCTCGCACCCGCTTAACTACAGCCACAGCGCCCTCGGTGTGACTGACTGGACACCGATCAACGGACTCGGTCAGGAGGATATCATGTATACGCAATTTTTTCCCGATTTCACCAACGCCACGAACCCAACGGTGGGGTGCGACACTGTCTTCTGTCCTCCGAGTGCCATAGAAGCATACTTGGCAGACCCGGCAAATACCGTGCTGCAGACTACCACCACCAAGCTCTGGGAGTTGGGGGATGACATTATCTCCAAGCGGTTCACACAGCTCATCAACACGTACTGGATAGACAGCATCGCTCCCGCCGCTGTGTCAGGAAACTTTACAGTGGCGCCGCAGAGCAACTTGCTATTGTACAACACGGACAGCACGTTCGGGACAGTCACGACCAGCCAGGTCGTCGTCAAGTGCGAATACGCGTGGCTTGCACTCATGCTTTTGTGTTCTATTGTACTGTTCATCATCGGCGTGGCCACGGTGGTGCTGAGTGCGCGTCGTCGCGGGCCTGACATCTTGGACAGATTCAGCTCGCTTCTGAGGGACAATCCATACGCGAATACTGTTCCTCACATATCGTCCATGGAGGATGCCGCGGACCAGTCGAAGCGGCTGGGAGATCTGATGGTTCGACTTGGGGATATTCGTCCCGAGGAAGATATTGGATACGTGGCGATCGGAGTCCTCGATGGTAAGCAAGCGGTGCAGAAGCTGAGTATGAAGAGGGATTATGCTTGATTTGGAGAAGCGGACTCTACATATCCGCTACTATATGATAAAGGATACGTCCGTCCAGCGTAGAAGGTAGAAGATAACCCCTGTAGTACTACTAGTACTAACTGACGTCCTGCATTTGTGTCGACTATTGCCTGCGTGACATAGGTTCGACCATTTCTGAACTCATATAGTACCAAAGGAAACAGTGATGGTGATGAGCACTGAGAACATATGTGATCGCATACTAGTATTGGTGCGACTGCGAGTGGTGCGCGATGCTGTACTCGTCAACCGCCAATGGCGAGAATCCTCGACAACCTGTCCTTGATGCTTTATCTGCAAGCTGAACGTACGTACCGCTCTAAAGAGGAGCGAGAGCGACAATTCCAACAGTTGAAGAAGGCGTAGGCTGCGCCCGGGAGAATGGTGTTGATGCACTCCGAGCGCAAACCGTACATTGCCCCAGGAAATCAAGTTTTAGTCCTCGTGCCCAATTTCAATCATCAATTTTAGCCCGGGCAACGCTTAGGCAGATAGCGAACAGCTGAGAGAACAGTATGTCATTGCCATCGATCGATAGAAGAGCGCTGCAAATCGCTAATGCTTGCAAAAGCATTCTGTCGATCGCGAGTGTATCAAGCAACGGCATACTTCAAGTTGTTATGGGGCTCTTTTAAAACATACTAGTACTATAAGGCAAATTAAAAGGGAAAGAACACCTGGAGAGAGAGCTTCAAGTTGACTACGAGGTTTCTCGGTCCAATGAAATGTTCGCTGGCAAACAATGTCAATACTACTTAAGTACAAAGATTGCGAGAATCAAGTAGTAGTTCATAGTACACTTTGAATGCTAGTAGTACTAGTAGTTGTTTGATGCTGCCACTCGATGCTGCATAGCGGATGCACATCAGATGCGTTGATGCGTCCTTAAAACCTTGATGCTGTGTCCGATGTGCATCAGTTACGCGTCGATACTGTATCTATGCTATATCTACACAGTATAGAACTAGTACTATTATCATGGGATGTTAAAGCATCTTCACAAGACGATCGTAGATTTATACAATGTATGTCAGTACCGGTTTAGGAGACGATATTTTCTATTGGATTCTTGCAGTTACTAAATTCACAGACTTGGACCCTCACACCTAACTCAAGGTCGTGAAATGGAAGAAGTTACATGAGCAGGCATTTCGATAAAGATATAACAACAGCAGATTAAATTTTCCAAGTCGATGTGCACTCACCCGTGCAGTCACAGTGCTACTTAGTATCTTAATATTTGCCGCAAAGTGTTAGGGCAGCAAGTGTTACTTCCGATACAGAAACTTTCTGGCGAGAAAGCAGCAATACTTCACTATCTCTCTTTACCACCATGGAAATCTGTTTATCACCGTCTTCTCGACAGGTGGTGAACTTCCAGCAGTTTGAAACGCGACACCAAAATGGCCGGAAATGGTTTAGCTGGGATCGAAGGCGCCAGAACTGGGAGTCGCTATATTAGTACTAGTGCCATGGACGAAGTCACTTTGTTCTGAATTTCCTAAAAAATGCAGGTAGCTGTACGCCCTGGTAGCATTTACTGTCTACAGGATACATACGAGGCACTTGAATGGCCGTGAGAAGTCTTCGGTATTTGGTATCCTGCGCCTTCCCTTGTAACCTGCTCTTTCCGGCTGGTGATGATGACTACTAGTACCGCCTGGTACCTGCGCCGTCGTCTTCTCCTTCCGTCCAATTGACACCAACTTCGGTCGGCGGGCCTTGGCACATTCTTGACCGTCTTTCCCCTTCTTTTCGTCTCGATCACCTGGATTCCACTTCTCTCCGCAGCCGAGGGCGGCCCTCCTCCCCGTGTTTCTCCAGATTTTCTGTCATTCCATTCGCGGACCTCAGAACGTGTGTCTGCGCTAGATCATCGGGTGCCTGAGACATCGACACCGTCCCTCTTTTTTCATTTGCTCATCGTCATGGCTTGCAGCACCGCAGAGCTGAGTTTGGGAGTCCAAGCAACCCAAACACCTTCCTAGGAGGGGTTTTCTAGGCCTTTTCCCGCGCCCTCTCCCAATGGGGCAGCTCCAACAGCTCTGGGACGCATCATGCAACCCTTCAGCTGCCAGGTGGGAGCAACAGCTATAAAACTTGGAGCAAGCTTCTCCGAAACCTCTTCTCGTTGACCTCCTCATTCTCCCTCGCTGTTTCGCAGTCGACATTCTCGCTACTAGTGTTCCATACCCTAATCGTCCGACACACTCGTTCTTTGACCGCCAAAAGCGTTGCGTACACAAGCAGCTTGACGAGTTAATCTCAATCGTTGAATTCACATCCTACTACTAGTATCTGTTGCAGCTACAAAATCTGGGAAAGATGCGCTTCCTATCTTTCGCCGTTGTTGGACTTTCCTCCCTCCTCCATCTTGCAGCGTCGCAAGATCTTTCTAGTCTCCCAGCATGTGCTGTACGTGTCATGGACCCCGTCCCGCTAGCTAGGTAGGACTAACAGCGTCGTAGGTGACCTGCGCCGTCAACGCCATCTCTAGCACCGGCTGTGCAGCTACCGATGCTGCCTGTGTGTGCCAGGCAAGCAGTTTCCTCACTGGAGTGTATACGTGCATTTCTGGCTCTTGCAGTGCAGATGATATAGCTGGTAAGCTTTGGTCAAGGACCGTCAGGACCCAATACAGTATGAAGCTGATCTTTCTCGTCTCCTCCAGCAACTCTACAATTTGCCCAACAATACTGTGGATCCGCGGGCATCAGCATTACCCTTCCCACGGCCTCTGCCACTGCGGCGCCGACTTCCACTCCGAGCTCAGCAGCCAGTAGCCCGGCGACAGCACCCGCCTCCGTGACCAGCAGCTCTGTGCCAGCGAGCGGCGCCCCCGCTGCAACCTTTACTGGTGGAGCGCAGATCTTGAAGCAGCAGTGGGCAGGCGTTGCTGGGGTGATTGGACTGGGTGTTGCCGCCGTGCTGTAAGGGGCATCCAAGAGACAGGGTTTGGGTTGGATAAGCAACAGGGCAGCAGAGAGATAGTTGGTATTGAAGGATGGATACCAGTAAAAGCCGGTACCATGAAGAGTTGGTGATATGTTCACGAGATTATGACGCAAAATGGGAAAAAGAATAAGTATTTTTAGCAGTACTAATAAGAAGACTGTCGGTCTCGTTGTGCACAGTTCATTATTTATTGCGCAATCCTACTTGAACCGTAAGTAGTACCTCGTAACTGCGTTTCTAGACAGTTGTAGGTGTGGAGGGCTAGGACAACTATGTAAGTTTAGGATGATCCTTTTTGTGTCATCGAAGGCGTTCTGATCGTTGCGGCTCATTCAACCTCTAGCTCTTCGGTACAACGTGATTGCGGTCGACGTGGACGTCCAAGCTCTGGAACACGCAAAGGAGGCTGGTATTGAGCACGCCATCAACTCTCGCACTAACCCCAACGTCTCCGAACTGGTCAAACAGATCACACCAGAAGGAACAGGCGCCGACGCCGTGGTCGTCTTCACCGCGGCCAGGATGTCTGGCTCGTGGAAGCGAGAGGCAAGGGGTAGGGTTCTAAGCCTGCCAGAAGCGGAATCACTAGTTGTGCTATGGGATTCAAGAGCCCACCCCCTTGGCTTCAATGGCTTATGAAACGTATCTCGAAGTCCGGGCAGTCTCGGCAAAGCGTTGTGAAAGACGGATTAGACTGGATTTCCAAGCGAAGACCGTAGTGAGGGGACCCTGATACCGACTGCTACTCTCTCTCTTGGACTGGGGTCAGTTACTCTAGTATTGTCAACAGACCTGATCTAGTATAAGTTCGGGGAGAGTATGTATGGGTGCCCCTTTGCCTATATGAGTATAATAAATGTATATCTCTATATCCACGTCTATCTCTCGAAAACAATCAACCCCGGGTCGCGGCCAGGCGAAATACCTCGTCGAAGAAGTGATTCGCCAGGGCGATATTCTTCGGGTCGGCCGGGGGAATCAGCTGGGTGGCGTAGATTGCGGCGACTCCGTGGTCGCGGTTCATGATCCAGACCAGATTCGGCAGGCCGCCCCAGGTGAGGGTGCCCTTGCGGTGGACCCCGACGTTGTCCTCCATGTACAGCCCGCCGAGACCCCAGTTGATGCCGCCGGTGAGGTCCGCGGCGCCGGTCATGGCGGCGATGATGGCGGTGCTGCCCAGCAGGGCGGCGAGGGAGGGCGAGCCCGGCGCGAACTGCGGCGCGAACATGTTTTTTTCGATTGTCTCGCGCTTCAGCAGCCGCGGCTCGTCGCGGATCAGGTCGCCCAGCACGGCGAGGTAGTCGGTCGCCGTCGAGTACAGGCCCGCGCCCGCGCAGTCCTCGGGCGCCTCGTCCGGCCACATCTTCTTGGACATCTTGAACGTGCCGTCGGCGTTGCGCTCCGCCGTGGGCATCAGCCGCGCCTGGATCTCCGGGTGGCGCTCGAGTCGGAACGTCGTCGAGTGGATGCCCAGGGGCTTGAATATGTGTTCCTGCAGGTAGTCTTCTAGTGAGGTGTTGTTGAGACGCGCGACGATCTCACCGGCCCACTTCCCCATTTTAAGACTCGAGTCAGTAAACGCTGTAGGCAGTGAAGGAGAGGTGGGGAGGTGGAAGAAATCCTGAAGTGTTTCTTTTCATGAGGTGGCTGGCTCTATCGTTGTACTCACATCGATGCCGCCGCCGTATGACCATCCTTCACCAGGCTGGTAGAGTAAAGGTATAGTATGTGCCTTTGCCACGAGCGCGCCTAGGGACACGGCGCCCTCGCCCCTCGAGGCCCGCCAGGCCACCAGCAGGGGGTCCATGAAGTCATACGCGTGCCCACTGTTGTGGCACAGCAGGTTTCTGAGGGTGATTTTGTTGGTGGCGGGCTGCGTGACGAAGCGTTGTGAGCCCTCGAGGGACTCTCCTCCTCCCTTTGGCGGTGGCGAGAACACCTCGGGCGCCGCAAGCTCCGGCAGGATCTTGTCGACGGGGTCGTCCAGTCCGACCTGGCCGCGCTCGACGCACTGGAGCGCCGCGACCGTGCCGATCAGCTTTGTGCAGGATGCAATCCATAGCGTCGCGTCCGGGTCGACGCGACTGGTCGGGTCGTCGACGTTGGGGTGTCCCGCGGCTTTGAAGTACAGCTGCTTTCCTATAGATTGGGAGAGAGCGTGTCGAGTCAGTCAGTCAGTCAGTCAGGCAGGCAGGCAGCCCAAACAAAAGAGGTCCCCCTTGTCCAAAGTGTTCTCCAGCCTTGTCAGGGGTCGGCGGGCTCCCAATGACGTTATATGATACGATATGATACCTAGCTAGGCATGATATGACACGGGGTCAAACGCACCGTTTTTGTCCACCGCGGCCAGGATACATGCGTGCACGGCGTTCTGTGCAGGGTTTGTGCTGTTGGCTAAAATGGCTTCAAAGTCTGCCATGGCTGCTGGTTTCCTGCGACAGACAACTCGCAAAGCTCCTATCTGTGGTAGTGATTTCACAAGGAAAAGGAAATATCGCGATCGATTTGTTGGTGCTGGAGCGAGAAGGGGGGGGGTGTCCAGGGGAGTCTAGGTAAAAGTCAACCCTCCACGACGGGGTTTGCCTATGATTCTCCAAAATCGGGGGTTCTAGGAAGGCAGGGACTTTATAGTAGTCTGGGACTTGGGTCAGGACAAAGGTCTTGGGTTGAAGGTGGGAGAGGGGCGGGGGGGGGAGGGGGAGTAATTCCTGTGATGTTTTAGGATAGTTAGCTCCCTTGGACAGATAGTTAACGGCCTGCCCCGCATACTGGATTAAAAGCTCGGTAGAGCTGAGAGCGTTAGTCGTTTGGTCAAGCCAAAAAAAAACATGTCAAGCCTGTGGTGTACCAAGAATTGCATAAACGAGTCAATGTCCTGAGGTTCGAGCATAAAATGCTTTCCCCGGAAAAGATAAAACTATTCACTTCCGGCTTGGAGTTTGGATTTACATAAACTGATTCGGTCGATTTTCCCCACAACCTTATCACCCCGTTCCCCAGGTCGATGGCCCAGTCGGCTTCAGTCCTCCAAGTCGGTCAAGCCTTGTGCAACATTGGTCGCGCAGAGAGAGCCAGGATTGGTGATTTACACCCGCTGACTCGCTGACTAGGCTAGTTGTGGTGGATAGCGAGACATCTTTGGCAACTACTCGCAAGAGTATCATCCTTGTCAAGTGCTTCTTGGGCTGGGCTCGACGACCACCCAAGGTTACGAGATGGCGTTGAACGGTGATCAAGTTGGGGAAAAAAAACCATACCATCGAGCGACGAATGTTGTGTGAGATGCAGCATAAAAACAGCCTTGACCTAGAGACCACACGTCAAGCTTGATCCATGATGGACTCAAAGCCTCTGCTGGGTTCTCTACCACTCGGACCTAAAGTATTCGCGACTGCTCCACAAGATGACTCTTCGAGAAGTCAACGGTGTCACCAACGGCAGTGCCGCAGATGTCGACTAAGACAAAAACCTCCACCTCGACGCCGTGATTGTCGGGGCTGGATTCAGCGGTATCTGCTCACTTCACCACCTGCAGAAACTCGGTCTCAAAGCCAAAATTTTCGAACAGGGGAACGAAATCGGCGGCGTGTGGCACTGGAATCGATATCCTGGAGCGAAGGTAGATTCCGAATCACCACTGTACATGTTCCACATCCCCGAGCTGTGGAACAAGTTCAAGTACAAGGAGCGGTTCCCGGACGCCAAAGAGCTCCGCCGCTATCTTAACTACGCGTCCAACACGCTAGATTTAAAGAAGGACACCTACTTCCACTCCAAGGTGATCCACGCCCAGTTCGACAAAGCCACAGGTCGATGGACCGTCAACACCAACGCCGGCCACACAACCACCGCAAAGTACTTGGTCATGTGTGTCGGCTTGCTACACATACCAGGCACGGGTGATTTCAAAGGCGCCATGTACCATTCACCCAACTGGCCGGAAGGCGATAGCGTCAAGGGGACGAAAGTGGCTCTGATCAGTACTGGGGCGACTGCCGTCCAGATCAACTAGGAAGTGGCCAAGGAGGCCGACCACCTGGACGTCTACATCCGCAAGATCAGCCTCTGCCTTCCCATGCACCAGAGGGAGAATCGTGAGGACAAACACCTCCGGCACAAGGCCTATTACCACTCGTTTTTCGCCGCGAGCAAGAAACCTCGGGTCGGGTCTCCCGTCCAGGGTCCCAACGCGGCGTCTTCGACGTCACTCCCGAGGAACGTGAAGAGCACTGAGAGCTAGGCTGGGCCAGTGGTGCAGCCAACTTCGGCCTCTCCCAGTACAACGACGAGCCTTCACCAACAAGCCGACCCTGATGGAATGTCAATGGGACCTACTCGAAGACGTTCTCCGCAAAATGCAAGACGACAAGATCAAATACATCGAGCCGACTCTCGAGGCCGAGGAGGGCCGGAGACACAAGGTGACGTCGGCGACAGATGGTAACCCTGTTCCCGTACACTCGGACGTGGTGGAACGGGGGCAACATCGCCGACAAGAAGGTGGAGAACATGACCTACATGAACGGCATCGATGTCTTTATGGTCGAGGCGGCCGAGAAACTCAAGGACCTGAGGGACATTGTCCAGGAAAGGCAACTGGGCGGCAACCTCGTGCCACCTGCGTGAGTGTCTTTTGCCTGTCGGGATGCTTTGAGATTAGAAGACATATCACAAAGTCTTATCCACCGGGGTCAAAGCCAGAGGCTGATGGCTAATGGTCACCCGCCTCCCCTTCTTTCTTCTGCTTTTCCCCAGTGTACGAATTCACACCCACGCCTACCCGAGTAAAGCAGGACCGAGTACCTCGTTCTCCAGGTAAATTTCCCTAGGACCACTCAGTCCTCTTGGCTACTCCAGTGCCCAGTCGACGTGAACTCCCATACTGGGGATAAAACAGGCCGAGGGGAGAGGTGGTTCGAGAAAGTCGGATGCCCACGGCAAGACATGACTGACTCTTTCCATATAATGGCACTATACTACTTACCAAGTAGGTGTGTTGGGGCGGTCAACGCCTCTGCACACAGATGTACCTCCAACTTCTGAAGCGTCAGCCTCGCAATCTCTTCCTGGTCCAGTATCTTTCCTATATGGTCCGTGGTGTTCACAATCTGTCCCAAAGGCACCTGGTGTCAAATGTCGCAGTCAGACGGTACTATTTTAGCTCGATAGCTTCCCAAGGTGCTTTCCCACCCCCTTTTCTTTCAGGTATTATCAAACAATATTACTATCATTACACAGCTTATGAGCCTGTGGTTGTACCTGGAAAATGAAATATAGGGGTCCTTTACTGAAAGTTCCGAGTAAAATGATGGAATAACTTGTGCGACAGTGTCGTCATTATGTACTCGGCAATGGCAGTCACAGCCAACAGCACCAGCCACCACCCCCACCACCACCACCTCCTAGCTATGTACTCGGTACACCTCCAACTACATATTTCTCACCCACCCTTATGTGTATCTTCAACACCTGTCTCTTCGCCTCACCGTCGTCCGTCTCTGCCTTCAATCACTGCTCCTGACCAAACCTCACAATTTCCCTTCGATTTCAGAGGCGTGAGGAAGGTCGTCAGGTGATCAGGTGATCCTCTGTCTTGGACCTCAAGAATCAATTTCCTCTCAGCAAAAGTTGACAGAGAGAGAGAGAGCGACACTAATCTCTGGCGGAACTTTCCTGCGCCACGAGTTGGAGCTCTTGTTGACATAACTTGAATCATGGCATCCAGTTCTGGTCCGATTCCTGGACGTGACTCACTCACCAGCAAGAGCGGCAAGCGCGGGATTGTAATTGCAGTGCCTGATTCTCCATCGATACTGTCTAGATCCATTAAACGGTCTCGATCTCCTATCCCAATACCTAGTGACGACGAGGAGGAACCGCTTCCCAAGCGCCAGAAGAGACCAGCGCACCAGATGTACCCCTTCGCCTGTCCATTTTACAGGCGAAACAAGGACCTGTACTCAGCATGTCTTGAGGACGAGGAGAATCAGGTCGGCGACATCGACGACATCTATCGACATGTGACAAGAAAACATCGTGCACCAGATCATTATTGCCCTTGTTGTGGCGTCTCCTTTGACAATAGAGCCAGCTGTGACGAGCATATCCGGGGCAGGACGTGTGAAGCGATATATCCTGCCCCAAGTTTTCAAGGCCTGACGAGCCAGATGCGGGTGCAATTAGACCAGGAATTCAACATGCCCACAACAGGGAGGGATGACGACGAGAAATGGTTTCGAGTGTTCAATTTCCTATTTCCGACAGAGCGCAGTCAGGGAATATCTCCATATCTCGACGCCGACGAGGTCCGCACCAAGACGTTGCTCTCTCTCAAGGTCTATATTAGCGAGCGCGGGGGTCACGACACGAGGAACGCAATGACCACGATGATTGACGAATTCTCAGAGCAAAGCCTGTTACACTCGGCGTCCCTTGGGGGCGTGATAACAATTGCTGACAGCAATGTTGGCGCATCATCGGCTGCGAAGCCTGGACAACATGTGGACGAAGACGCAAGAGCCAACGCAGCTACCACAACAGCTATACGGGCCATTTCCACTACTTTTAGACCGCCAATAAGCGAGTCTCCTTGGGCCTCATCCCTACCCACTGGAGGGTACATGGCGCGGGGGACAGACAGCAACCGCCGGCAGCCTCGGCAGCTTCGCCCAGTAGCAGCACGCAGGCGCGTGTTGACTATGACTAAGCCTAAGCCTACATGTGACGCTTGTGCCAAGAGCTTCAACCACGAGAAATCCCTGGCACGACATATCAGGTTGGTGCATCGCGACACTGAATACAAGTGTCCCGACTGTGACAGTATATTCAACCAATGGGGCCTTCTCCAGAGTCATATCAGGTCGGAGCATCCCGACACTGTATACAAGTGTCGCGACTGTGGCCGTACATACACTCAACGGAGCAGTCTCAAGCGGCATATCAAAAATACATGTGAGGGTGCCACAGACAGCTAGTCAACCATACCAAATGTGCGGGGTTAAGGATCATTATATACAAGTATTATCTCGATATGTACTTTTTTAGATGGTCCAGATCAAACCCGCGGTAACCAACACTGCAACGCCGAGTCGACCTGTTATCCCACCGCCTGCAAGACCTGTCAAGCTCGTTGCCTTGTTCTCATCCCCGCCGCCTCCAGAGTCATCGTCATCGTCTGAACTGTTCGACCCCGTCAAGACAACACTCTCGTTGCGTCCGTCGAGATCCAAATCGAGTCGGACGTCCGGGTGGTGCAGGACGGTGGCCACGACCCATTCGGACGCGACAACGGAATATTGGTCGTAATAGCTCCAGTGGGCGGTGATGTTGACCGGGTCGCTGCCGACCGCACATACGGGGTCGCCGGCGTTGCACCACATGGCCGTGATGTCCTCGTAGACGTTGAGGTCGTCGAGTTGTTGACCCGACCGTGGCGCCGTGCCATTGTAGGTCGAACCGCGGCCGATGTTGTACGGCTGGTCTGCAGTGAAGCGAGGGTCCCCCATGGCTACCACGGCGGCGACTAGGAAGTGTGTTAGAATATTTTCTCACAAGGCTTGGAGGGTGCTGAGCAGAATTTTTGGGGAGGCAAACAAAGAGAAACGTGGCAAGAAGACGTACTCTTCGATCCAGGCGCCGTGTCTCGAGGCAGCGAGGGATTCCAAGCCTGATCACACCCAAAGATCGGCCCGCCACCGCCACCCAACATATCACCGACGACAGCCGCGCCCTGAGAATAGCCCAGCAGGACCAACTTGGAATCCGGACACCGCTCGGCATACGCCCTCAGCTGCGCCTGGCCGGCGTATGCGCCCGCATTGGCCGACTCACAATAGAACCCCGAGTACGAGATGTTGGCCGGGTAGACAATGTCCTCGTAGTCGCACGACACGCCCTGGGGCTCGAACTTGGAACACATGACGCCCAACATCTCACCGCCGCGGCCGGGGTAGGGCTCATTGGACCCCCGGGCACTGAAGATGCGAATGTCACTGCAATCCTCTGGGAGGTGAGGGGTCGTGTAGGGGATAACATCCTCGTCCTCGTGCTGCTCTTCTCCTGTTCCTTCGATCTCACTTCCTTCTTCTTCGGGGACAACTGGGTCCGTGATTTCGTCGGGGTTGGGGATGGGCTCGGGAGGGACTTCGACTGGTGTTGCTTCAGGGGGTGGGATTTCAATGGATGTGGCCTCGGGAGGCGTGACTTCAGATGTCGCGACTTCATCCTGTGCCAATCCCGGCGTTGCGTGGAGAATAATGACAACGATGATGATGGCAGCGAGCCATGATAACCGGACTATCATGTTGTCTGCCTCGTATTATTCCTTGCCTTGTACATGAACGTTCCACCCTTCTCCGTTCTCCACTCCTCTGCTCCCTTGCGCTGCTGTTACGCGACCTATACCTTGGTTTTCTTCTTCCCTGATTATCCCTTTCGAGGCCAAAAAGGTGGCGAACCCCTCCTCCAAGTATCCAACTGGCCAAGATAAAACGAGGGTATGTTGTATTTGTGTTTTGTCGAACCGGCTGTGATGTGATTTGTTGTGATGATCAATATAGAATATTTGTTTGCCCCTTTTGTTTACCCTGTAAATTCGTAGACGGTCGTTTCCTCGCTGTGTATGTGTAGGTGTATGTGGCTGTATGTCCTGTACAGTACAAATCAAAGAACGGGCGCGCGTGCACACGCGACCATGGAAAGATCCCGATCTATCCTATCCTATCCCATGAAAACACCCAGCCCCGGAAACGGAGAGAGAGAGAGAGAGAGAGAGAGGATCCTGCAGAGGTAAAAGATAATGAAAGTTGGTGGGTGATTTTATTGAGATCTGGCTCTGGCTCTGGTTTCAGTGGACCGTTGCAGAGCGTGTGTGTATGTGTGTTGAACGATAGGCTTGGGACAATGAGCGACGAGCGAGCGATAAGTTCTCAGTCAGATAAGATCAAAATAAGTCAACAGACATTAAAACAAAGCACTGATATAAAAAATCAGAAGAAGAAAAAACAGCAAAAAGTGGTAGTTAAGTGAGAGTGGGATATAAAGAGAGAGGGAAAGGGTAGGTAATAGATAACAAACAACAACCCCCCCAGGAATGCATATACTTGAAACCCTAGAAGAGACGATCTTTTATCTCGATGACGCTGTGCGCGCGCGCGCGCCGGCTCTCCGCTCGACGAAATCCCCTTTCCAAGAAAAAAGAAAGATGGTAATACCAAGCACAACTAGGTACCAAGAAACCGACGAGCTAGGTACTACTACTGAACCGCTCGCTCTGGGGCCCGTTCATCTGCGGGTGGCCGGTGGCCGGTTGGTGTGGGCTCTGTCTGAAGGTCTTGAAAATCAAGACAAAAACTGGACGGATGGCGGGTGGGCGGGTGGCTCGGGAGTCGGGGGGAGGACCCCGACCGCGTAAGACAACGAAAACTTGGCAAACTTCCCCTAGGCTCGTCCCAGGGCTGTCACTACGCAGAGCTTATAGGGCGGGAGAGGCGCCGTGGTAGCAGCCACGACAAGCCACGACAGCCCAAGAAGACGCCACAGATGCGCATCGCTTGGCTGCCAACGCCCAGAGGGACAATCTTCAGGGGAGACGCCAAGGCACCATCTGCACGCGACACTTTGAGCCAAGCAGGGTTGACGCATTCCCATGCCGTGGTAGCCGAGACTACGAGGTGTCCTCACTTCACTTGGACTTGGACTTGTACCTATGTATGTATGTACATATGTATGCACTTGTGGGAAAAAAAAAGGGGTGAATGAGTGAATGAATGAGGACCACGAGTGGATAAGGCAGGTAGGTACATAGGTAAAGTACTCGTAAGCGTATCGCGGCGCCAAACCTGGGCGACACCAAGTAATTATTATTACCTGGATCAAGTACAAAAGTAGGGAGGGAGGAGGGGGGTGGTTGGGTAAATATTCTGCCATGATTGATTACCTACCGTAGACGAATGTCCTCAAAGCGCCACTGCCAAACTGGGAAAAGGGTCCTTCTTTACGAGGTAGTACATATTACTTGTGCATGAGTGTTTATGTAAATTTTAGCACCAGCACCGAATAGCTAGGGATTGATTATTACAGGGGTTCCATGTCTGCTTTTTGCAGTATGCATCTTGGTCGTAAGGGACAATCAACACAGGAGTGTGGACGGAGTAGATCTCGCAGTATCCCAGGCGTGAGAAGAACCCTCGGGATGAAAAGGCCGCCATCGATTGGTTGGTTTGGGGCAGAAGAGACGACCCTGGGACAAGATTCTGTGTCAAGGACTCTCTGTATAGACGTACATACGTGTACATATTTCTTGGTCCCCCCCCCTTTTTTTCCCTTTTCAAAAGGTGATTCTCCTTACCAAGGCTGATCAAGAAATCCCCTGGTCCACTGGAATATTCACTCCACTCACGTCGAGAGAGTCCTCGCTCAGCAACCACAATATCACCCGGGGCAATGCTCGACGGCTCCGTGGCCTTGAAACACCTGCGACTGAAGCATCTTGATGCTTTCGTCCCCTGTTCTGCCCTTCCAACGCATTGTCGAGGATCGGCGTGTTGGTCGTCCCGGGACTGCAGCAGTTGACGCGGATACCCAGGTCGTAGAGGTCCTCGGCCGCACTCGTGGTGAAATGGACGAGGCCGGCTTTGGTGGTGCCGTTATCCAAAGTTGCCGCCGGAATGGAAAATCGCGGCCATGGAAGCGACGTTGACGAAGGCTGGGTAGGAATCCTCGGCCATGCTCTGCATCGACTTGACGGCGGCGCGGGAACAGTAAAAGGCCCCGTCGATGTTGACACCCATTGGCCTTGCGCCACTGCTCGACCGTCTCCTCGAAAAGCTTGGAGCCCGGCTTGTTGGATACCTGACGACCAGCCACCCCGACGACATTGGCCAGTCCACGCAGCCCCGTTCCTCCCTGTTCAATCTCAGAAACTCATGCGTCGACTTGCTCAGGAACCGGAACGTCGACGGTTGTGGTGTGCACATTTGTGCCTGGGTTGATGGCCGGCAACTCGTTTCTCATCTGGCCGAACGCGGCGGTATTGACATCGCCAATGAATATGGCCGCGGCACCGCGACGTGCGAGGAGGCGAGCTGTCGCGGCTCCGATTCCAGAAGCACCGCCGGTGACCGCAAAAGTCCTAGAGGTCAATGTCGCCGCCATAGATGGTGTTGCAGGAGAAACAATCAAGGAATAGTCTCTCCATTCTTTTAATGATGAAATCCACTCTGCAGAGAGGGGGGAAAACCATCAACGAGGCTCGGATAAGCCGCTGACTCGCCCACTGACTCGCTTGATCTATCTAGTCAGCCCCAAATTGGAGTTATCCGTCCATTCTTTGAACCTGTCAACAAACCAGGATTGAGCCTTTCCCGAGTTACCGAGTTACCGTGTCATCAGATCACTGGCGAATCGTCATCCCGATTGGGCTTCGATCGCTTGTTATCGACGCTGAGTGTTGACGTCTTCGCATGCAACCCTCCCGAGTCTTTACCTCGACTACAAAAGACAGCACCTGTCCCGTTGTCAGTGCAATGCGTGGCACACTTACAGCGATAGAACACTTCTGACAGAAAATCTGGAATGATGTCGCGGTTCCAGGGTAAGGTGGCCCTGGTCACAGGGGCAGCCTCGGGCATTGGTGAGGCCATCGCCAAAAGACTGGCCAAGGACGGCGCAACAGTCATCGCGGCAGATATCACATCGGAGAAAGAGGGATTTACAAAGACCATAGGCGCCGACGTGTCGTATTATCAAGTCGACGTGACTGACGAGAAAGCTGTGCACGGGTTGGAAGGCTGGATCCGCCTCACATACGGCGGGCTGGACATTCTCGCCAACAACGCCGGGATAGGCGGCCCTAGTGGACTAGTGCATGAATATCCCATAGCCGCCTTCGAGCAGATCTTCAACGTCAATGTTCGGGGCGCTTTCATGGTCTTACAAGCTGGAATCCGTCTCATGCTGGAGAGTGGTGGTGGCGCCGTGGTCAACACGGCGTCGTTGGCAGGGTTTCGCGGGTTTCCCAATGCCAGCCCTTACCACGCGTCCAAGGGCGCCATGGTCATGCTCACTCGCACGGCCGCCATCGAGTACGCCACAAAGAGCATTCGAGTGAATGCGGTAGGGCCCGGTCTCATCGCGACGCCCTTGGTGCAACAATTGGACAATGCAGAAGTGGCATTACAGCAATTGACTGCACAGATTCCGCAGGGGAGGCCTGGTCAGGCTCCCGAAGTCGCCAATGTAGTGGCCTTTCTCGCCGACGACAACGAAGCGTCGCATGTTACAGGTCAGATCTGGTGCATCGATGGTGGCCGGTCGGCGACATGAAGACGATGAAGCGGAGGATTTTCTGGCAGTGTGCACTCATCATGGCTATCGGGGACATATGTACTGGGTAGCATCGAAGGGCGAGAGATGAGGGGGAGAAGGAGTGAGGAATGAAGAACAAAAGAAACAGTAATAATAACCTCTTTGACAGTCCAATTTCGATTCCATGGCGCGCGTCGGCGGTCTCCGTGCCCGCAAAATTCTTTGACTTTGGCGCGATTGGGTCTGCTCACAAGTTTCTTTGACTGTTATCAGATCGACAACCTTTTGTACACTCAATGCAGCTTGGCCCTGAGGGGGTAGGATATAAATGTATGCCGATAGCACGTATCACCCACCATCTGGGACGACTTGGACATCGGGGAGGAAATACTAACCAACGCATCTCCGCTTCCCACTTCTCACTCAAACACTAGTGAGTGTTTATAGATCCATAAATATTACACACTGTCAGAGACCAACCAACCAATACCGACCATCACTGTTGTCTGCAGTACCAAAAATAAGAAAGAGGAAAAAAATGCCACGGGCCCAAGACCTAGCAACGGCGCTCTTGTCCACGACGGAAAAGTCCATAATCCCGCTGACGGCGGAGCAAGTGTCGCAGGGCTCGAAGCTGTTCGGGGCGGCGGTGCTAGACCGGGCGACGCTTGCGCCTGTGATCGCGGCGACCAACAACGAGCGCGAGTCGCCGCTGCTGCACGGCGAGATCAACTGCATCCAGCAATTCTTCAAACTGCCGCGCGAGGGGCGGCCCGAGACAAAGGACTGCGTCTTCTTCGCGACGCACGAGCCGTGCTCGCTGTGCCTGAGCGGCATCACCTGGTCGGGCTTCAACGAGTTTTACTACATGTTTACCTACGAGGACAGTCGGGATTTGTTTGCTATTCCCTGTAAGTTTTCCCCTGCACCAGGTTACGGCAAATACCATCACTCCGCATTCCTTTATTGCAAAATGGAGCCTGGCTAGCTAGGTTGAACACACGACTCATATTGACTTTGTTCATTAGACGACATCGACATCCTCAAATCCGTCTACCAAGTCCCCTCGCCCGGCGACACCGAGGAGACCTTGGCGGCCAAGCCACTCTACAACCGCAAGAACAAGTTCTTCACGGCGCAGTCGCTCGCCGAGCTGATCGAGTCGGTCGAGGACGTCGAGGCGCGGACGAAGCTGCAGGGCGAACTCGAACGGGTCAAGAAGATGTACGACCAGCTCAGCGCGACGTACCAGGAGGGTAAGAAGAGCGGGGCGACGACGAGCAGTTTTTTCCAGTAAATACTGAGCTCATACTTGGGAGAGGTAATTGATTTACGATGCAGAAACGAACACTAATGTATGTACTGCTTGAGGAACCGGGACAACTTGAAACGCGAATCTGGTTGGGCGGGGCAGAGATCTCAATACTACTAGTATTTTCATGTACAGACAGACAGGCTGGACATTGGAGATAGTTCAATCTGGTTAGAATAGAACCAGTATGAATCATCCATTCAATACGAGTACTAGTACCCTCCCGCTAAGTGTGGTTGTTCCACACTTCCCCTATCAATATCGTATGTACATACCCCATATCCGAGGAGCGTTACCTTTTCCCCTCCCATATCCTCTCCCGCCGATAGACTCCAGACTCAACCCCTGCGCGGGCCCGGGCAAATTCGAGTCCCAAACATCCTCTCCCATTGTCCTTGGCCCGGTCATCCCAGTCCTGGTAGGCCCGATTGGAGGCCTCAGGGACCGTCAATTCGCTGCCGCACCACTCTCCTCCTCCGGGCGAGGGCTGTAGATGACACATTCGACGTTGTGGCCGCCGGGACTGATGACAAAAGCGGCGTAGTAGTTGTGCGGGTGGTATTCAGGCCGTACGCCTGGTGCCCCGTTGTCTGTCCCGCCGGCCTTGAGAGCCGCGGCGTGGAATGCGTCGACTTGGGCGCGATCTAGAGAGACGCATAGCATTCATTCCCTGTCAGCCTCGAACGAAGCAGATCTTGTAAAGGTAGTATTGCTAACTATAAGAACCCTTGCTGCCAGGGATAAATGTTGGATGGATGCATGTTCATACCTTTCGCTTCCAGAGCCAAATGGTTCCTCAAGACCTTCGCATCATCAGGAATGGGCTGACGGTCCTCGAGGCCAGAAACCCACAGCCAGGGTTTTGTGTCGCCCAGGCCGACGACACCGGGGACGGGGCGCATGAACTCCTTCAGACCCATGTGTCCAAAGGCCCCAACGAGGAAGGCCACCTCGGCGTCGACCTTGCTGAATGCGACGGGGTAGGACAGGTGGTGGCACGACATTTTGACTAGGAGAGAGAGATGACTCTACTAGTAACCTGGGGAATTGAAGCTGGAGGCTGGCCTTCGAAAGCCCCTGTATGTAGCAGAAGGCGAGGTCAAGTTATCACTCAGTAACTTAGTACTTGGTAGCTGCAGTTGCACTGTGAATACTGAATCGAGAAAACAAGCCTGGGGGAGAAACTTTCAAGGCAATGCCCATCTAAATACTACAAAGCATATAGTATTATTTAATGGCCTTCTCCATCATTGCCAATGCCTGGCTGGCTGACCTTGACCATATCTCTCCCAAGGATTACCAACGAAAACTTGCAATCATGCACGTGTCACCGCGTTGATTTCGCGCCCCTCCCACGCGCTCTTTCCCTGCTCGGGTCTAGTCAGACGCCGCGCCAGGCAACAGCGGCTTGGCGACTCGGTCTACCCACCTGCTCACAACTGCTGCCTGAGGGTGCCTGATTGTTGATGCAGGATGCCGTCACTGTTACCTTTGACTCGGGAGGATCATATCATTATTGCCGGCTGGAGGGAAAGGATTCGAGTCGAACGGTTCAAAAACCGTTACTAAATTACCTACCTACCTCTACTACTGGTAGCACTTACTAGTGCTGTAGCTGCTCTCATGCTGCATCGACGCCGCATCAAGGTTTTACGGACGCATCAATGCATCCGATGTGCATCAGATGCTGCATCTAAACCACATCTAAACCACATCAAAACCACATCAAAACCACATCAAAACCACATCAAAACCACATCAAAACACTTAGTACTATCTGAGATCAATCTTGCCCATGAAGCCATCGTCGATATCAAGTAAGTACTGAGTGGGAAACGGGGAGATCAAAAAGGGAGAGAGAAGAAGGATACAGTGTATCTCACTTTCTACTACCCATGTATGTACCTCTGGGGTGACGATTGAATTACTACCTACCTAGTACTTCGTAGTGCTAGTAGTTAGTACTAGCCAACGAAGAAGTTCTGACCATAGGAAAAATGTAAAACGACAACGAAAGAGTACAAATTAGGAAGGAGCTACCCACTGGGGTCTGTTGGTTGCACTTCCCTCGTACCGTACTTTTTTTGTGACATTGTCATACTGGCTGATTAGATTACCCGATTCGGCGAATTCGGTGACGCGTTTCCAAGTCGCCCTCTCGGTTTCATTTCAACTTGAATTGAACGATTTGCAACCAACCAACCAACCACTCGACAACTACTAACTGTCAGGGGCAATGTGTGACAGTGTTAGTCGCAGTAATAAGTACCAATAGTTTATTTGACCTACTACAGCGCGGCTGACTTCAGAGTGCTGTCCAGGAATGGAAGCCGCAGAGTATCAACCAGTTACTTACTAGGTACTAATACTTGAACCTAAATGCATCATCAGTCTTATCGAGACAGGGTCGCATGTATCGTTATTCATTGATTTTATAGATGTTAGGCCTGGCACTACTCCTGAATGAGTGAGTTCCAAGTACCAGTAATCGTTACAGCTATCATTAATGCCCTGAAGATGTCGCCACCTTCAGCTTTCAAGGCACAATATCAGTCCTTAAGCAAAATGCAAGAGGTCCCATCCCGATAAACCCAGTACTATCGAAAAATGACTATTCAGCATTGAACTCGGTCGACAGCGTCGCAGTGACCTCGACGAGCTGGGGCTCAAAATCGATGCCCACGCCGACCTCGAAAGTCGCCGAGCTCGTGGCCCTCCTCGCAGTCTGCATCACCCGCTTCATGGGCCACGACTGCTCCACATCCTGGATCTTAACGCAAACCACTTTTTCTCTGCCGATGGTGCGTCCATACGCCTGCGCCCGGGTTATGGCATGCTGCAAGGCCATCAGGCGAGCTTGCTCGTCGAGTTCGGCTTTCCTCTCGTCCAGCAGTTGCCAGTCGATGCCTCGGAGCTCGATGTGCGGCATGGCGGCGAGGCGGGCGACCATCTGTCCCAGGCTGGGAAGGTCGCGGAAGTGGATGGCGATTTCGGAGTGGGCGCTGTAGAGCTTCCTCTTGAGGCGGGCACCGTTGTTGTTGAATTCGTCCGCCGCAGAGATGACGAGCGAGGCGATCGAGTAGAAGCTCACAGGGGCATCTGGCCTTATCTCTCCCGTCTCGAGTCGCGGGCACAGCAGGTCCAGCTCACTTTGGATGTCGTTCACAGTGGACACCACGTTTCTTGAGACTTCATTCTTTTCTGAACCAGAGTCGGCAGCGGCTAGGTTGAGCACCGCTCGCTGGGCGGCTGTCGTGATAGTGGCGTGGCCTTGAATATGGATCAGTGTTGGAGGGATTGCCATGGCTGCAAAAGATTGGAGAGAGAGTTATGGCTGGGGAGATCAGATCTATCTCAGATGGGAGGAGCTGGACGTTTTTATAGACACAAAGCGTGGTCTGCTGCCTGCCTGATATTGCCTGATCCTAGCTGAAACCCGCTCCAAAGCATCTGGCCACTTCGCTAACCATTTTCGGTATAGCTCCATATATCCCCCGCTTATAGTGAGGGTCGAGAGCCCGCCATATACTCACGAGCAATATTCTTTTTGGACATCAGTCTGTCTTTGGTGATCCAATACGGAGCCGGCAACCCTGTCTGACTCATATCGTTCACGTCTCCTCTCACCAGAGACGCCACCGCTGCAGAACAACCAAGAATGCGCGGCATGCCATGGCCGGTGAAGCCTGCGCTCGCAAAGATGCCG